CTCCTACAGCTGATAAACACCTTCAGCAAAGTGGCAGGATATAAGATTAACTCAAAAAAATCTGTAGCCTTACTATATACCGATGACACGTGTAGAAAGAAATCAGAGAAACATCACCCTTTACAATTGCCACAAACAACATAAAATACCTTGGGGTAACACTATGCAAAAATGTGAAAGACCTGTACCATAAGAATTTTGAGTCTCTAAAGAAAGAAATTAAAGAAGATACCAGAAAATGGAAAGATCTCCCATGCTCTTGGATAGGTAGGATCAACATAGTAAAAATGGCAATCTTGCCAAAAGCAATCTACAGAATCAATGCAATCCCCATCAAAATCCCAACACAATTCTTCACAGACCTTGAAAGAACAATTCTCAGCTTTATATGTAGAAACAATAGACCCAGGATAGCCAAAACATTCCTCTACAATAAAGGAACTTCTGGAGGCATCACCATCCCTGACTTCAAGCTCTATCACAGAGCTATAGTCCTGAAAACAGCTTGGTATTGGCACAAAAATAGACGGGTAGACCAATGGAATAGAATTGAATACCCTGACATTAACCCACACACCTATGAACACCTGATTTTTGACAAACAATCCAAATTTATACGATGGAACAAAGAGGACATCTTAAAAAACTATTTCTTACATGAGAAATTTAAATAAAAAATACAAATATATTTATTAAAGCTCCCCTTAACTATTTCAGGAGCAGTCTGTCCATCTGTGTGAAATGCCATGCACTCTGACCACCTCATGTAGCTAGACTTTTGAGTATATCTTTCATCACCTCTTCAGAGCTGTAGCCTCCTTCTCCTTTGCTCTATGTATCATACTTCTCTTCATTACAACAACTTAAAAATTTGCATCATAACCACTGTGGTGCCTACTCTTTTTTTTTTGGCTATGCATATGGGTGTCAGAATAACTAATTTGTGAAGCACTTTGTTTTAGACAGTTTAGAGTGCCTTAACCCTGACCACCACTAATTGTTACTGCAGTTGCTGGTTATAGTATGGCCATCACAAAACTAAGATCCATTGAGCTATTAACTGTATTTTCAAACCAATTCCTCACTAAAATTGTTTGATTATTTCTTTTTCAACACAAGAGTTTCTATGTGTAACAGCCAAGTTCAAGTGTACAAGGAGCACGACAAACATGCAGAATGAAGAGGAAACAATGAGCCAGTCTCCATACGCAAGTGCACATCATTTTCTAAGTCACTCTTGATTTCTAAATCAAGGTTACCATAATCTGTTATATCGTCTCCAAACAAGCAAGTCCAAACTTTGGTCTTCAGCAGGCTCTCCATCAGAGACTGGATATTGAACAAAAGAAGAAAATAAAAAGAGAAGGTAATGACTCAGACTAATAGCTTTACATTTTAGAACTTAATTAACAGTAATTTAAAATTCAATCTAGAGGCAATGAGATGGCTTGGCAGGTAAAGGTATCTGCCACTAAGCAAGATCATATAAGTTTGAACCCCAGAACCCACATGGTAGGAGAATTTGCTCCCAAAAGCTGTCTTCTGAACTCCGTACACACATCATGGAAGGCACATACATGACACATACATATACAAGTGAGTTTTTAAACATAATACATTTTTAAATTAAATACTCATGTGCTCTATTTTTCTACGTGCTATTAAGACACATAAATAATTGTTTGGTTTTTTTTTTGTAACAGAAACATTTTTTTGCTTCCTCCCCTTGAAAAAAAAAAAAAACCTTGCTGAGCATGGTACAACATCTTTTATTCCAAAACTTAGAAGGGAGAGGCAGGCAGATCTTTGTAAGTCTGAAGCCAGCCTGATCTACAAAGTGAGTTCTGGTAAGAAAGGACTACCTCGTGAGACCTTGTATCCAAAAGGAAAGGAAAGAAGGAAGGGAGGGAGGGAAGGCGGATGCAGGCAGAGAGGGAAAGAAAGGGAAGGAAGGAAAGATAGAAACAAAATCAAACAATATTTTATGATGGATCGACTTGCTAACTACTATGACTACAAAAGAATAAAGTATTTTCTTCTGTGTCATCTGCACCTGAGTGTGCAGGGGCACATCCGGCTGCAAGAACATGAGGCAGGAAGACAGAAGTATCTTTTTCTCTCACACTCTAGCTTATGGCCTGGAGACAGGACCTCTCATGGAATCAGAACTCCACTACTTCAGAAGCTTAGGCTCTCAACAAGCTCTGGGATCCACTGTCTCTATCCCCAGTGCTGAGCTTACAGGCATAAACAGCCATACTCATCTTTTAAGTGGTTACTTACAATTCAAACACAGGTCCTCTTGCTTGCAGAGCCAAGTGCACTAACCTAATAAACCATCTCACCAGCCCCTAAAATATTTTCTTATGGCGTTTCTTCCATGTCTTAGTAAATAAGAGCTGAACTGGAGAGACAGCTCAGCAGTTAGGAACTTGTTACTCTGCTAGAGCATCTAAGCTCCTTTCCCAGCACCCATATCAGGCAGCTCACAGCAGCTTGTAACTCCAGCTCCAGGAGATCCAATGGTCTCTTCTGGCCTGGGTGGGCATCCACAGAGAGGCCATTAACATATAGGGTAAAAGCTGTGTGGTGGCTCATCTATCTGAGAGATACAGAAGCTATAAAGATGTATGAAAATCTATAAAAAGATCATAGACACCTTGGCACTGCACTCCCAGGCTCATACCTACACATGGACACACAGATACACACTAGTTAAACAAAATGAACATCCCTCTGGAGAGAAGGCTCAGCAGGTAACAGCACACACTGTCTTGCAGAAGGCCCAAGTTCAATTCCCAGCACCCATATCCAACAGTTCTCAACTCCCTGTAACCTCAGCTGCAGGGACTCCAACACTTCTGCTTTCTGAGGGGAGGGAAACTCACACACAAAGACCCACAAAAAATAAGCCATAGATTCTTGATTTATTCAAGGAAACAACTAGCTGGAGAGTCCAACTGAGACAGACAGACACATTGTAAAAGGATTGGAATGGAGCCCTGGAAGTTCTCCAACTGTGTTTTTGCTGCTGTTGCTTTTTGAGACAGTCTGACCATATAGCCCTGGCTGGCCTGGAGCTCAGACACATCTGCCTGCCTCCCAGTGCTGGGACTGAAGGTGTACACACCATTCCTGGCTCAGCAAACAGTCATCCCTCGGCATCCACATTGCACTGCTCCAGGATACCTGTCACTACCATTGCATGAAGACAAACTGCATGGGTGTTCACGTCCTTTACATCAGATAGCAGTGCTTGCATATAACCTGTATGTATCTTCATGTACACGTCAAATCCTCCTAGACGACTTGTAATAATGAGTGCAACACAAACGCTGCATAGAACAGTTGCTATACTGTATCATTCAGGGAATGAGAGGAAGTCTGCACATGCACAGTCAGAGGCCATTATTTTCTTTTATTTATTATTAGTGTTTGTTTTGGTATGTCTGTGAATTGAGTATGTAGGGCAAGCACATGAAGGTCAGAGGACTACTGAAGTCAGCTGGCTTTCTCTTTTTACTTTTCTGTAGTTTGGGGACCAAACTCAGGTCATCTGTTTTACTCAATGAACCCTCTCATCAGTCCAAATTTGTTAAGAGCACCATTCTGTGATTGGTTGAATTTAGAGAGATAGAGAATCCAGTATATGGCAAACTGTGAGTAAAACTAAAGCTAGAATGTCTTGAAAACATTTTTAATATTTTTTTTACACTTATTTATTTAGGTGGGGAGCAACATATGTGTCATGGCATAAGCCGGAAGATCAGAGGGCAATTTAGGAGTAAATTCTCTCCCTCCACAGAGTGAGTCCTAAGAATCAAATGAACTCGTGTTAGGAAGTGTACAGCAAATGCTTTTACACACTCAGTACATTCAACGGCCTAGGTAATGTTATTTTGCATTCCTAAAATTAGAGTCAAGTTCCAATTAGTGTATGTGGGTGTGAACCGAGAGCCATATCGACGGGTTCAAGAACACACACCATAAAAAACCTAAACAGGTCAGAAGAAAACTTTTGGGGTCAGTTTTTCCTTTCCACCTTGCTTGAGACAGGTCTCTCCACTGCTGTGGAAGCCAGGCTAGCTGACCTCAAGCTTCTACCACACTCTGCCTCCATCTTTCTACTACAGGGCACTGGCATTAGATACTATGCTAAAAAACCCAGCTTCTTAGATTCTGGGGATCTGAACTCCTATATTGGGCTTACGAAACATGATTTACCCTGGGAGCCATCTTCCCATCCTGAGTTTAATGATTTAAAAAGCATTTGTAGAATGAAGTAACACAAACTTAGTAGAGATAACAAGAATATTCAGCCAAAACATATAAACTAAAACCCAGTTTCTCAATGTTTTCTTAATCAACAGAAGCAGATGTCAGCATAACAAGAAAAGGTAAAAATCATTATCTTCTTTATTTACTGATAAACACCTGGCGTAAATATGGGACGACAAAGACATGGGGTGATAACATATATATTAAAATTTATGTATCTTCAAGAAGCATTTGAAATGTGACAAAAGACACAACAATAGCAATAAAAGCTGTTAAAATTATTTGTATTTCCAATTAAGTATAAAATTGTGGCCAACTAGTGACTAAAACCAAGGAACCATTACCTTGATCTCATTTTCTTTTTCATTTAGGACTTGCTCTGCCTGTACTTTGGATCTTCCACATATTGCTTTCTGATTATTCAGTTCGTCAGTTTGTTCTTTCGTTTTTTCAAATTCCTCTAAAAGCTGATAAGAAAACAACAAGGATGTGAAAGACAACACAATGTTTAGATGCATTTATTTAAATATTTATATGCATTATTAAAAGATATTAAAAAGTTAGAGTTGCTATTTAAGGATGCGATTGAGCTCAAGGCTCCAGCTGGAGTCAACACAGTGGCACTTTGGGCAGAGAACTGGTTTTCTTTGCAGATTTTTACTTCAGTCTTTCAAGATAGCTATTACTGTGGTTTGGGAAGGCAACCTCAGCACCAGAGATCAGATGGCATCAAACTGCCTCTTTGACTCCCTTCCCCAAGTCTGAGCTGAACACATGGGATGGGTGCCACAGAGCAGTCACTCACTTGCTTCAAAATTAGAGTCACCAGCTACTTTAGACACGTGGAAGAATGTGGCAATATGTGAAGAAAACAGCCTCAAACATCATACCATGGTTTGGATACTAAGTGTCCCTCCAAAACTCCAATATGGAAGCTTGGTCACCTATGCACTAGTGTTCATGCTACCAAAGTTGTTAGGGTCACTCAGTAACTTGGAAAAAGACAACAAATAGTGCTAGTCTGCAGCATTCAGAAAGATGCTGTTCAGACAGTACAGGGTGGCTTGATAGGAACGAGAAAGCCCTGACTAACCCTTTCTCCTTTATTTCCTGCCATTGCTGGAGAATACCTAATTGCCAATGGAAGTAAGGGTAACACTGCTCCAAGCCATAGGGTTAAGGAAACGTCCCTCATCAAGACAAATTGTCATACTTCTGATCATGTCTTACCTAATGAAAAAAGAAATCACCATAAGGTTATCCAAAGTCAACACTAAGGAAACTGTCTCCAAGAACCTGGAAAGATAAAGCATGAGGCCCTGAGTTTGATCCTCAGTCCCCATTTAAAGAAACAGGCATGGTAGCTCACCATAATTCCAGCACTGAGGAGGCAGAGAGATAGAACCTTGGGGCTCACTGACCTAGCTAAATCAGTGAGCCCTATCCCAGTGAGTGGTGACATTGTCTGGGAAAAAAGTAAAGCATTTCTGAGGAGGTGGTTGTCCTCTTATTTCACATGCTAACATGCATACATGTGCATGTTTACCTGCGTACATGTATCTACCTACACATAGTACATACATATATGCATACACACAAAAAGAGAACTATCTCTTATAGCTATTTTATGTAGCAAGAACTCAGCATAGGGAGATGAGCCCAGAATTTAAGTATCAAGGGAAACAATGTAGCACATGGGATAGAATCCACTTGAGGGACAGGGAAGGGCACAGCACAGGCTTGTGTGTTTGAACACTTGGTCTCCAGCTGGTCCTGATGTCTGGGAATGTTGTGGCGCCTTTAGGAGACACAGTCTTGCTGACAGAGTGAGTGACTTGGCAGTCCTTGGGGTTTGATTGTCAAGCCCCACTTTAATTGTAGGGGACATGTGACCAGCCAGCTCACACTCTTGCTGCTGTGGCATCCAGGCAAGGAAGGACTGTGTCCTCAAATAATAAGCTGTAATAAACCCTCTCTCTTAGCTGGTTTCTTCTTTTCAACTATTTTGTTAGAGCAATGAGAAAGAGTAATTGAGAAAATATTCCACTTAAAACCCTGCTGGAGGAATTAACGCTTGATTCAGATTCTCTTTACCATGTGCTACAGAAAGAAAATCATCTCACACCTTAATCCCACACTCAGACACACACACACACACACACACGCACGCACGCACACGCACACGCACACAAAATCAACAAATAAAAATGTTAAATTATCACAATAATTCCAGTAACCCACAGAATCAAGAGATTTCAGAATACAAATGTCCAACATATAAAAGAAACACTATGAGACATCATCACATAATCTCAGATAGCTAAAGATAACAGAAGGATATTGTTTGTGAAGAAAAAAGAGCAGGAAACAAAGAAGGCAACATAATCTACACAGCATTCAAGTCCCAAAACCAAAAGTGGAAAGGGAAGACAATGCAGCAATGTCAAAATTTTATTTACATACACACTTTTGTGCTGTACGCAGTACAGCAGAAAGATCTCTGGGTTTCAAGTCAGTCTGGGCTACATAGGTAGTTCCAGAACAGCCAGGACTGTTTTCACAGAGTAACCCTCGATTCCCCCCCAAAAAAACACAACAACAACAAAAACAAAACAAAACAAACAAAAAAGAAAGTCAAAATAAGTACTAAATATCAGGAACATGAAAGAGAACAAGGAGTTGGACCTACTGCTTAGTGGTTAATACCAAGCACTGTTCTCAAGAGGTCCTGAGTTCACTTCCTAAAACCCACATCAGCCTAGTCACAGCCACTTATAACTCCAACTGCAAAAGAGTCAACATCCTATCCTGGCCTCTGAGGGCACCTTAATCATGAACACAAATGCACACATACACATACACATACACATACACATACACTGTAGGCAACCTGTAGCCAGCCCCTAAGTAGGCGAGGCTACAGCGTCTGTCCAGCAAGTACAAAAGTGAAACCGAAAAGAGAAAACGCAGTCCCATGCAAGTATCGCTCTATGTCACCCTGACCAGGCCCTCACAATCCTGGTCAGGCACACTTGTAGCCAGCCCCTAAGTAGGAGTGGCTACAGCTTCCCCTACAATACACAGCTGAGTGAACTGTAGCCTCAGGACAACAAAAGCCCACTAGATCTATAGAACAGGTTCTTTTTTCTTTTCTCCCTTCCTTCTTTTTCTTTCTTTCCTCTTTCTTCTTCCTTCCCTTCTTTCTTTCCCTCTCCTCTCTCTCTCTCTCTCTCTCTCTCTCTCTCTCCCTCCCCCCTCTCTCTCTCTCTCTCTCCCCCCCTCCCTCTCTCTCTCTCTCTCTCTCTCTCTCTCTCTCTCTCTCCTTCTTCTTTGAGACAGGGTTTCCCTGGTTATCCTGGAACTCACTCTGTAGACCAGGCTGGCCTGGAACTCAAGAGATTCACCTGCCTCTATCCTGAGTGCTGGGATCAAAGGTATGCACCACCACCAAGAGAATCCAAGTTCCCAAGGAAAATGGCTCCCATAAGGCAATGAAGGAGGAGAGATGGCTCGTGTTGAAGAGTGCCCAGTGTTCTTGCAAAAGACCTCAGTTTGGTTTCCCTTACACATAGCAGGTGGCTCATAACTGCCTGTAATTCAGTTCTGTGGGGGATCTGATGCCTCTGGCCTCCAGAGGCACTTGCACATGTGTGCACATAACAACACTCAAGACACACACATGCACATAATTAAAATTAAAAATTAGAAGAAGAGACAGAGGTGGCAGCAGGCAAGGTAACACACACCGATAAAACCAGCAATTTGGAGGCTAACTACCACAGTGAGTGCTAGGTCACCCTAAAATACACTAGAAGACTCTCTCTAAAAGAGTAAATAAAATAATAATAGTAGTAATAGAAGTTTAAATGAACAAATTAGCCAAAGTGGTTGAGTGAATGACATATCCATAGAGATAGATTACAAAAATATATTACAGGAAACCAAGCAATTATTAACAACAGGATAGTCAAGTCAGACAGGCTGCTTTTTAGACACTCATAATAATGGAACCAGACATTGTCACACCACTAGGGTGGGAAGATGGTAAAAGCTCTAACGCAAGAGAAAAGGGACAGTATGTCTTAAACAAGGTGAAGGTAAGGACCAACACCAAGTCATAACCTGTGCACAGTCGAACTCTCACAGCACACACACACACTCCTACCTCAATATGCATACTGTAGAAAGGAAGGAAGGGAGAGAGGGATCAAGCAAGGGAAAGGAAGGCAGGAAAGAGACAGATAGGGAAAGGGGGAAGACAGACAGACAAACAGAATTTTCTCGACAAAAATTGTACTGGGACAACAGAAGGGAGGGCACATGTGTTCAAGTGTCTAAGTGAGAGTGGAATGAGAATAAAAGCTAAGTCCCACTTTACCTGCCCCCAGGACTCCTTCTTCCTCTAGGCCCCAGTTGGTAATCTATTCACTCTTACTGCATTCTCTGCTGTGAGGAGTGGTGTTAGCTGCAGTGTGCTGTGAGTGTCAAAATGCTGACGGACAGCCTGGGCTTACTTCTTTCATGACAGAAGATGAGATGGAAGGATCCACTTTTAAATCCATTATGGGAGATGGATGTCTGCATGGGACACTGGCTGCTCTCAAAAGCCTACACAACTCCACACATGGGTCAGTCGTGAGGTGTCTAGAACACCAAATGCTATATTCACATCTAAAAGAGTATCTGTAGGCAACAAACCTCCTTCAGGCTTTCCTCAAGTTGATAATTTTCATTCAGGGTATCTTGTATTACTTCCTTAAGGTGTTTTTCATTCATTTGAAATATACTGATGTTAGTTTTTGCCTAAGTAAAAGAAATACACAGTTTATAACAATTTAACAGAAAACCTCCTGTTTATGTAATCTCTGAAAAATACAAAGTTTAAGCAAAAGCCAAAACATGACACTATTAACAGCAGAAGCAGTATCAACACTCCTTTGATGCAACACTCATTTGTCAAGTGACTTTGAGCAAATTATTGAAATTCCATGTACTATACAGACAATTTTGTTAACTACTGAAATAGAAAGACAGAAAAGAACAAGTATTAGTTACTGAATTATTGGTTTATTTCAAGACTCACTTAAAACACTGCTTGCACTGCCTATTTGCCAAGCATGGCTTCACTTGCTACCAGGAACAGAATGACCTGAAGAAATCGCTGATACAATGGGTCATCATCCTTAGCAACCTGCTATTGCCATGTGCACTTCAGAAAAATCTTGCTTGCTTGCTGCCCACATTGTGATTTTAGAAAAGAAACCGGACCCAGAATTAAAGGCTTTCAGGAGGTGCCCTGGCTACAGTCCACTGGTGATGGTGACATCTCTCTTCCACAATCACTAGTGCAGGAGTAGTTATTCCAGAAAGATCCCACACTACTTACTCTTTGTCTCCTGCCCTAAACTTGGTACTTCAGGAAGCAACTCTGTTTAGTATCGTTACCTGTTACATAACTTCAAGAGTGCTCAGAAACAGCCATAGTTTAAATCTATCCAGGGGAAGATAATGTCACTCAAAGTAACTCAAGTTAAAGCAAATGCATATTTAAGATTCTCTATATTTCAAATACAAATGTACTATTTTATTACCTAATGTGATGGCTATTCCTGGTTATCAACTATATCTGGAATTAATGCTGAGTAATTTTTCTCAATTAAATCATTTGAAGTTGGAAGACCCACCTTTAATCTGGATCTTTTGAGATGCTATACCTTCTGGCAGCAGCCTATCTAAAGGACATGGAAGGAGGAAGCATGCTTGTCCTCACTCTCACTGGCAAGTCCATTCATACTGGATTATTGAACTCTCTGTTGGTAGACTGCCATTTTTGGACTAACTGGACTGCAGTCTGATGATTAGTCTAATAAATCCCCTTTAGATAGGTAGGTAGATAAATACATGGATGGAGGGAGGGAGGGAGGGAGAGAGGGAAGAGGGATAGATGTCATCCCGTTAGTTCTGTTCCTCTAGAGAATTCTGACTAATATATCTAATTATAATCTGAAAACATGAATGTTCTTCACAAGTGACAGACCACTTAAAGTAATTCAACTTAACTTACTTCAGTGAGTTGTGTCTTGACACACTTTGATGCACTTTCTAGAGATTGTATCCTTTTTGAAATGTCTGTCATCTGAAAAGACAGTATCAGTCAGTATATTTAATACGACCCTTTTGCTCCAAGACAACATGCATTAGTTACATTGTACTAATGTAACTAATTACAATGTACATTAGGTACATTGTTAATTTATTATTAATAAAAGTGAGAGGCCAGATGAAGAGACCTTGTCAGCTTGCTTACCAAGTGCTCACAAGGATTTTACAAATTATGTGATAATAGTACATCTTCACAAATTGAATGTATCACGGCACTTTTCAGGTTCAAGATGAACCCACTAATTCATATTTCACATAATACCACACACATCAAGATTTTCCTTATGCCAGAATTTAAAGAAAAATAGTTATAAATACTACAAGTTAAAAAATATATATGTGTCTTTATGCACACACAATATTTCTCCTTCACTAGGACTATTCAAAGTATATTATTAGTGGTTACTTCCACAGCACATATAGAAATTTCCCATGTAAATGTACAAGAGAGCCAAGTGTGGGGGTGCACACTTGTAATCCAAGCATTTAGGAGACATAGGCAAGAAGGTCATCAGTTTGAGGCCAGCCTCAGTTATACAGTTATACAGACTGGTATATATTCTAAGACTGTCTCCACAAATGAAAACAATAAGAAAAAAGGAATGAAAAAAAAAGAAAAAAGGAATGTCAAAACACTTATGATCATAACATTTAAAGAGTAATAATTTGACTGGAGGTGGTGTCACATGCCTTTAATCCCAGCAAACAGGAGGCAGAGGAAGGTGGATCTCTGTGAGTTCCAGGCCAGACTGGTTGACAGAGTGAGTTTCAGGACTATTATACAGAGAAATCCTGTCTCAAAAAACCAAAAAAACAAAACAACAAACAAAAAAAGTGAAAAGATGAGATGTGGATATTGTTCTCAGGGTCTTTTACATTCTATTTTTTACATACATGAGTTTCTTGTTTGTTTCATTTAGCTTTGGATAGATTTATTATTTGCTTGGTTGGTTTTGGAGTTTTATTAATTTATTTTCATTTATTTACACTTTTGAAGATAGTGTGTCCTCCCACTGTCAGGCCAGGATATCATGGAAGTCTTGCCTCTTCCTCCCAAGTTCCAGAACACAGGTTTGTGTCACTATGGCTGGCTTACATGGAATATTTTCATCAATATCATAGTATTATGTAAGATTCATAATTCTCTTGGAATACACAGGACTCACCAATTCATCTTGTTCATGCTTAGCTCTCTCTTCTTCTAGTTTCTTCTCTAAAGATAGTATTTCATCTTCAAGTTGAGATTTATGTCTTTCTAGATTTTCATATGTTGTCTACAATAGAAAGCTAACTTTAACAAGCCAGACATAAGAATTTTTCAGTTAGGGTAAAAATCAGATGAGTATAATCAAACAAATTTATAAGCACCTTATAAATTTGTTCATTTCTCTGATATTAAAATAAAGCAGGCCTAGCAGCAGCCAGCAACTACTATGAAAAGTGTAAGTATTACACGCTCCCATCAGTTAACCATGACAAAGACTACTCCTGAAGGAATTAATATGGTTGCATTTCAATGAAACTTTTATGTACAAAGACAGAAGGCAGGGGAAAATCCAGTAAGCACAGCTTGTCAACAGTTCTAAAGCATGTTAAAAAGCATGTTACAGGGAGAAAGGACAAGTTCAATTAAATAGAAAAATAAATTTAAAAATCAAGTGTATGTCATCATATTTTCCATTGAATGACATTTTGTATAATATTTTTAATTTAAAGTGATTAATTATTAGATTAGTTTTTGGATTTTAGATACTATAATTAACATACCTATAATGTTTGTGAAACTTCAACAAACTTGTTAAAAAGAACAAAACCAAAATGTATTATATTAGTCTCAAAAATGGATCTCTCAAAATTTGGCTATTTCATTACAAGACTTTTGGCTTGAATGAAGACTACTCTTCTGGTATGATGATTACCTGCAAATTCAACTCTCAAGCTTTGTAAAACTTGTATTACATTATAGTTTGTGTGCAACTATGATTAATACCCCTAAAGATTGTTTCAATTACTAAAATTAGATAATTTTCTAAGGTATTCAATGTAGCCAAATCTCATCTTACTCATAATCTTCATAAATTTACTGTCATAAACTTGAGTTTACATTACCTGTAACACCAAGTCTGAATAAATATTTGTCTTTCTTACCCAGTAACAACTTTCCTGTCAGCATGCATGCCAAGCAGCTTCTAAAACTCTATGTGTTTTGGGTTTGAGAGTGTGTGTGTGTGTGTGTTTTGAGACAGATTTGGCAATCCTCCAACATTAGCTCCCCCAAGTTCCACAGCGATAAGCATGCCCCACACCTGATAAATTCCTTTCATTCTGGGAAACTAATAAATTCCCATTGGGATAGCACTTACAATAGAGGCTCGAAACATAACACATAGCGATCACAAAAGGTTCTTCAGGCTTACCCAATAAAACATAGCAACTACAAAGACCTCCTAAGGATTTCATAGGTAACAAATTAAGGAATGTATTTGGAGTCTAAACTTCTTGTGGGTTCTACAAGGGCATTCTAAATCATAAGACAGAATTCCTACTGAGGACAGACAATGACAGAACTGCCACGCTGGACTGAACACCTAAATCAAAGGTACAAGGTCTGATTTCTATTTTATCACCAGCAGGAGTAGGCTGCTTCTACTTACTATACAGGCTCACACTCACTTTTTACAGCCCATCCATCTGCAAACAGTATCCAGGCACTCCATCACATCCTACTCTGCTAAGATGAATCATTGTGTCCTCTGAAACAGAAGAGTTAACTCTCTCTCTCTCCTAAACTCTCCAATCAGTGATAATCATGTTACTGACCGAAAACTGGTCATGATGGAGTGTGTAGACAGGGATTAAGTATTTATCTCCATGCCCCTATTTATAATGTAAACCTCTGGTCTAATTTTAGGTAATGCTTACTACCATGGTAAGAAAAAGATAATATGGTCACACCCTAATTGTCTCCTACTATGCTTACATTTGTGAGAGTTCTGTTTCTCTTTCCTGAAGCAAACTATGTCAAAAAAAAGAATGGTCTTTTCAATGCATCTTTAGGAGTACAGAATAAAGTATTTCTTCTTCATATAAATTTATAGATTCTGATAAACTATCCCTAAAAACAAGGTAATAACAAGAGCTGAAACTGTTTTGTTCTTTAATGTTATATGCTAACTACAAATGTTTCCCCTAACTTTTTCTATAAAGTTTAAGATCCAGATATACCATTTCATATTATCTGAAATAATTATTTTTGAGAAGATAACATATTTTTAATAAGAATCTTTTTCCTAGCTTCTAAATCATACTTTTTTTTACCTTCAGATTCTGTGTTTCTGTTGACACCTTGCTGGGCTCCTTTAAAGATGACTCTAAGTCTTCATACTAAATGAAACAAGGCAACAAATGAGTAAAAACTACAAATTTTATATCAAATCATATCTAAATAGATGTCAACGAAGCAAACAGAATCTATCTCCACATATGTAAAATTCCCTTGGATTTTCTGAGTTTAGTTTTGCAATCTAACCACTGTGTTGAGCAAAGTCAGGACCGCAAACAAGCCACAACCAACACCCTGGGTAACATGTGGCAGAACTTTACCCTTCTGACCAGCAAAGTTGTCCCAAGTCTGCTGGGGGTGAAAACTCTAACAGCAAGAGTGACTAAAGCATATCCAAAGAAGTAAGTTGTCTGTTATCCCCTGAACAAATCAACAGCTTCTCCAGTCTTTCAATGGAGCCATGTGTAGTAACTGGCTATCACATTTACACAATGTGACAATGCAAGAAAGGAAGATACAATCTTTAAGATCCAGACAGTAAGGAAGACAAATATCTGTGAGTCTGAGACCAGGCTGATCTACAGAGAGAGTCCCAGGACAGCCAAGGCTACACAGAGAAACCCTGTCTCTTAAGTCTCAGCACCTAAGAATGTGTGTTATTTGGACACAAAGCCTTCAAAAATCACTAGGTTAAAATGAGGCAGTTAAGATGACACTAACCTAACATGACAGTATCCTAAGAGCAGAGCATTAGAACAGAGTGAGACATAATAAGCAGACAGCGCTATCTACAAGTCAAGGGACAGGCCACAGAGGAAGCAAAGCCTGCCTACATCTCCATGGACTCATTTCCAGAACTGTAAGGAAATTCACTCCTACTGCTAAAGTGGCATTTTTGTCACAGCAGCCCTAGAAAGCTAATACAAAGCCCAAATGAAAACAGTGAATAAAGTCTCTATACCATAACAAGTAACAAAGTACCTTTACATCCTTGTTAAGTGAAAATCTCATGACACATAACACCACAGTAAAATTGTAATTCTAAACCTCAACCTTCTAAGACCCCAAACAAAACAGAAATATAAACCACAGAGCAGAAGATATTCACAATCAATATATATCTGACAAAACTCTTATACATAAGATATAATATTAAAAACGAAAGCCCTTCTTCTATATGATATAAAAGGACAAAGGTTATGAGTGCCTTTAAAAGGGTAGAAATGGGCCAGTGAGATGGTTCCATAGTTAAGGAGCTTGCTGCTAAGACTGATTAACCTGAGTTCAACCCAGGGATCCACTTGGTAAAAGGAGAAAGCTGACATAGGTCTGAGACCTATGATAACCACACAAATGCCTTCTTGGTAAATGTGTGCACACACAGAGAGACACAAATATACACACACAATAATAATAAAGTCAGTCATTTTTTAAGGTGAAGACTTAAAAGGCAATTTCACAATATCTAAATGAGCAATGAGCAAATCAAGGTGCTCCCAACTCCTTAGCCAGGGAAGATAGATAAGCACTATACATCACCAGGAGGCTAAGTGATGAAGGTGAGGAGCAAGGGAACTCTGCAATGAAACAAAGCTCTGATGGCACTGAATAATCCATGGAGAACCATTAAGTGCCACACTAGGATGAATGTCATTTTCAAACACCTCTTACCTCCTTTTGAGCAAGGCTCACTTTTTCAAGTAGTTTACATTTCTCTTTTATTAGCTCGGAAAGTTTGAGATGGAGGCTTTTCTCTCTTACTGAGAAAGCAAAATAAAGATTATTATAACCAAAGTTGTTGTCACTTTGTAAAATATATACAACAACAAGATCTAAAATCAAAATGACAACTTACCAACATAAAATCGGCTTTGAATCTGAAACAAATTTTTAAGAAAATTACATTAAAACAAATGTAAATTCAAGTAAATCTATATGAAGTCTACTCCCAGCTTTAAGATAACAACTTTCTTATGGCCTTAGAGTGAATGAATTACCCCAAAGCACTCTATTTTCAATGAAAACAATGCTACACAGTAAGATCTCCCATTGAAGATTTACACTATATGTTATCATATTGAGCCTCTGAAATAGCCTAATTCTAAAGACAATAGTTTAATTCCACTTAATCCTATGTTTCCCACACATATATTTGGCCCTAAAACAAAGTATTTTAGAGAGCCCCTATTATTAAGTCTCCTACCGTGAATATTCAAAATAAAAGTCTATGAAATATCATGGGGCTCTAGACCTGGACTGACTCTAAAAAACTCATTAGCCTTTGTCTTCTTTAAGCTTCAGCTCTCAATGAAGAAGGGAGAAATCCACCCTTGAGAGCACTGGTGCTAGGGAAAAACGATCAAAGGAAAGAAACAAAAGACTTCTCCCACCTACACAACAGAGACAGAAAATCAGAAGAAAAAATAGAAAGACAAGATAAAGTGGGATGTGTGTAAACAGATATAAGGACAACACGAGTAGAGGGTCTCCATGAAGAAAACAGAAAAGAAGTCAGCGCACAAGGGCAAATATCTAAAAAAGTCTCAGAGAGAAAAGGATATGGTATGACTCCCTCCTAAAAAACAAAATTAAGTATTGGAAAGGCAATAAAGGATCCAGGACATGTGTACCTCTTCACAGCAGGCCAGAGGGATGATATCAGGGATTATTAACTGAATATAAATGGCAGTAGTGTTTTTTTATTCTAAGTTGGGAGGTAGAAACATCTGCTGGCTTTTTAATACTGTTAAAAACAAACACAGGACCCCTCCCCCCAAAGAAAAGAAGAAAAAGGGAAAGAAAGAAGATTGGGGCTTTAGTACTACTATATAGTATCCCTAAAAAGAAAATCCTTTAAAAATCCTTACACACAAAAATATTACTCTAAATCTGTATTCAGTTCATAATAACTACATATTACCACAAGTAACCCAGAACACTATGACATGATTTATTTCCCTGAAATAAGTTGTCCAGTCTAAACACAGAATGAGGGTTAGAGAGATGGCTCAGTGGTTAGGAGCACTTGTTACTCTTGTAGAGGACCAAGATTCAATTTCCATCACCCACACTGTAGTTCATAATCATCAGTAACTCCAGTATCAGGGGATCCAACAATGCCCTCTTCTCACCTCTGTGTGTCCCAGGAACATGTGATACACATACAACATACATACAGAGAAAACAGTCATACACATAAAAGAAAATAAATTTTAAAAACCCAGATGACCATTCTCTTACTATGAGTGGTTACTTACTGATCGGAAGCCTCTCCAAAGAAGTACAAAAACAGCAAGCAGTCCAAGAGTAAGCACACATATCACCAATTGGAATGATGCCTCACTAGAATCAAAGCTTGCTGTCATATGTTCGGGCAGTGCTGCCACAACCTTCAAGACAAAGAAGTTGAGCTTAAAAACATGCATCTTCCACAGTACTGTTACTAAGACAGGTACAGGTGGCATGGTCAACTCTATTAATATGGAATGGGCTTCTGTAAAATACAAAGCAGAAAGCCTCCAACCACACTTTCTGGCAACTTACAATTGTTTTACCTGAGTGACTAAGTGTGGTGAAACACAATGGTTTTCAAACAGGAGTTATGAGGAGATCCTCAGAGCTTAACTCCAGGAGGGTTGGAGGATAACCACAGAATGTCCAGAAAAGAATGTTTAGGCAGGAGAAAGGATATGCAGAGCTGGCATGCAGACAGAATAAATAGGAGAAACCTAGAGAAGATTGAGTGAGAAAAGCAGAAGAGGACGACCATGACACAGGGGCCAGCCATGCAGTAAGAAGAAAGACATATAGAATAAAGGAAGGAAAAAAAAAAGCCCAGAGGCAAAACATAGTTAAAGAGAAACAGGATAATTTAACTTATAAAAGCCGACTAGAATAAAGTTGAGCTAATGCCAGGAGTTCATAAACAAGAAGTAATCTCTGTGTATTTATTTGGAAGCTGGGCGTGAGACCCACAGAGAGTTGTAAAAAAAACAAAACAAACAAACAAACAAACAAACACACAACTACAGCAGAATGTCAATGACCTAATGACCTAAGTTGGCTGCTTTTCCCTGACTTCAAGTTCATGATTTGTCTGTACACACTGGGTTTGACAAACAGATCTGCAGCTTGTCGGATGGGAAGGGGGATTGGTCAGAAGCAACTAACAGAGCTTTAGATTTGGGATTTAAACCTTTCCCTCCTGTCTCTTATCTTGAGTTAAAATAATGCAGTTTGAGCCCAAGAAGAAAAGTGCTCTTTGAAAAACAACCCTAGAAATGATGGGCTTGACTCTTTCAGACATCAACACAGGCCCTCTGGAACCTGCACAGCAGTCTTCTCCTTGGGGGTGGGACAAAATAGACAACAAACAACTCCTATGATAGTTACTCTGTATGACATCTGTTTTTAGCTAGTACATCCACAAGGTTCCCTTCCAAGCTGCTATCTACAGTTTATTAACTTCTACCAAATAAATAATGCAATATTATGCTCTTTTTTTAAGCCCCGTATCTTTATTTTCCTTTTTACATCTGTGACTCCAGACAGGATCTAAGAGGAGGTGCACAGCCTCTGCTCTGGGTTTAATGGAGAGTTCCTTTACCCTTCCTGTTAGCCTCTTAAGGTATAGCACCAACCTCAAAAGGGCACAGAAAAGGGTGAAAAGTCTTTTATCCTGATCCTGTCTCGCCCTTCCTCACCTGGGCCTGATACACCAAAATGTGACATCATATTGCTAGGCAATGATAAAAGGATTTGCCTCCCGGATCACAAGGACAGAGATTCAGTAAAGTCAACTCTTTCCATCATTTCTCCGAGATAAAATGAATGCATAATTGGGCCCTCGGCATTCCTTCTGAAATGCTCTTCCACACCTCACAGATTAAGGCCTGTAGTTGATTTGTATTTTACCTCTTCCTGAGTCCATCCTCTCTTCTCGGTTATTCTATTCTTTACCACCAGGCCCCAGATACTAACTGATTATCAACAGGTGGATTCACTACTCTGATATCAGATAAAAAAAAGACTTTAAGAGAAAAACTGTTACTAGAATCAAAGACACAATGGCCAAGGCAGGCTCAGGATTTAGGATGTAGGGTTTTACCCAACTAAAGAAGCACAAAATGAAGGAAATCTGGTGAAGTAAAGGAAAACACAGGTTCCTCAACAGTAGTTAGGAATTTCAAGATCTCACTTTCAGTGAGTCAGTATGAAAAGAGAAAACTGAAACAAGGCTATAAACCAGTTAGGCTAACACACTAACAAAATACTACACAACAACAGCAGAAAAGACATTCATTCTCAAATGTACATGGCAGAAACTTCAGAACAAATCCAGGAATCAAACTAAAATAAACCTCAATGTTTTTTTAAATAAGCAAATTACAGGGCCCAGCTCAGAGAAATGGCTCAGCAGCTGAGCACATTTGCTGCTCTTGCAGAGGACCAGAGTTCAGTTCCCAGAATCCATGGCAGGCTGTCCTTAACTACCTGTCCATAACTCCAGCTCTGGGAGATCTGATGCCCTCTTCTGGCTTCCTCAGGCACCTGAACCCACATGCATACACACACATATACACACATACACATAATTTAATATAGAAAAAATTCATTTAAAAAATTTAAATCTTGAGAAGCATGTGATATGATTACAATGAGTTAGAATTAACTATCAAAGGGACTGGAGAGATGGCTCAGCAGCTAAGGGCACTGACTACTTTTCCAAAGGACCTGGGTTAAATTCCCAGCATCCACTGGCAGCTCACAGCTGTCTTTAACTCCAGTTCCAGGGGACCTGACGCCCTCACAGAGATACATGCAGGCTAAACACCAATGCACATGAAACAAAATAAGTAAAAGAAAGGAATTAGCCATCAAAAAACAGGAATGCTCGAGAGAAGGCTCAGCAGTTAAGAGCATTTGTCATTCTTGTAGATAGATGATACAGGTTTCCTTCTACATATGTTGGTTCATCTCTATGCATGTCTCCAGTTCCAGCGGAATATGACACCATATTCTGACATCTTCAGGCACTGCAAACATGTGGTGCATGGACATACATGCAACAACAAAACACCCATGCACATAAAATAGTATTTATTGTAATAAAAATAAAATACTTTCAGATAAGTTGAAACAATGGAACACAAAACTTATAGAAGGCAACTAATTCCGTGTGTAACAGGGAAATTATAGTTGTAAAAGCATTTTTAAAAAAGTTATGGGGGGTGGGCTAGAGAGACATCTCAGTGGTTAAGAACACTAGCTGGTCTTGTAGAGGTCCTGAGTTCAATTCCCAGCACCCACATGTCACAATCATCTGTAATGAGATCTGATGCCCTCTTCTGACCTGCAGAGACATAGGCAAACAGAATATTGTATATATAATAAATAAATCTAATAGCAATAAAAAGTTATTGGGCCAGGAAGATGGCTCAACACTTAAGAACTCTGCCACCAAGCCTGACGACCTGAGTTTGAACCCTCCAGGAACCACATGGTAGAAGGAAAACACAGACTCTTGGACTCTTGGGTATTTGGATTTCCATGTACACACACACACACACACACACACACACACACACACACACACCCAAGTGTGCACATGTGTGCGTGTAATTTTCAAGTTAAAAAAAATCAATGTAATATATCACAGTAAAATAAAGTAAAAAAGACAACAGATACTAAGAATATATTTAAGGAAATCAAGAGACTGCAAACTATGATTACATTTCTCAATCTGACAAACAGGACCAATATAAGACCCACAGCTAACACCATCCTGAAGGTGAGAGAAGGGCTGTTCCCCTAAGACCAGCCAAACACATCCACACAGATCACTGAACCACAGAAATCCTGTCAAGTCTGCAAAATTTCTTCACGCCCCTCATTCCCAACCTTATCAAAACCCACTGTTGGTAACTGCGAGGTGCATGTGTGTTTTATGTGTCTGCTGCATGAGCATGCACAGAAAAGCCAGAGGTTGATGTGGCAATGTCTTCCATCTCCACCCTAACTTTCCTGAGACCGGGTCTCTCACTGAATCTAGAGGTCACAGTCTTTGCTAAGCAGATGACCAGTGAACCTAGTATTCCTCTACACACACCTCCACCCAGAATTTACACTGCCTTAGAGGGCTCCATTCATTTCATTCACGGGCAAATGAACCCTGAGCATGACAACACTACTTTAAATTCACAGAACATAAAGATAATAGAACTGGTTAAATGGAACAGCCTCAATATTTAAATGGTCTTTTAAAAAATGTAATGCAGTTTTCAAAAACTGTGTGTGTGTGTCCCTAAAGGTGTCAACAACAACACAGCTGCCTACAAACACTTAAAGAGGAAAATCTCTAGCAACTGGTAAAAAAATGAAACAAATTATATATTGGATCCTGACCATTCACTATCTCTAGAGTTTACAAGAACACCTTTTACAGTAACAATACAAAAAGCAGGAAGGAACTCCATGGTTTAAGCATCTCCACAGGGCATTCCTTTTTGGGGGAAACATAATGCAGTATTATTAGAATCTTAGCTCTGGCCCCACCTTAGGTGTCCTCTTAAGAAGTTTCATCACCAAGAAACTCCAGGTTCCTGGAGTGAGGTGAACCACTTGTAACTGACCCCTGTCAAAACCACCATGCCTTCCAGGTCCCAGGGTCCCCTTGCATGTGCTGCAAGCAACAGCCAAACACAGGCCTGGTGCCCAAGCTTGGGCTTCCCTGCCAAGGCTGCTCAGCCCCATGGGGCCAAGGCTACTGCGTCCAGAACCCCCAGCTCCAGAGTCCAGGACTCACCCATTTCAGCAGCTCCAAAATCCACTGCACACACACCACAGCGGTCCAGGGCCCCAGCATCGCTGAGGTGATGGGTGGAGGCCCTGTAGCTGGCCATCCGGCAAGCAGCACACCTGGGCTCAGTGAGCTGGGTGCTGTGAATGGGAAGGCTTTGGTGGGCTTGCACCACTGCTGCCTTGTTGGGGGAGCCCTGGCTGCACCCTTGGTCTTGGAAGCCTGGAGGAGAGGCCCCCTTTACCTCCTTAGCTCTGGGGACACTTCCCTGCTAGCACTGAAAGGGCACTCACTGTGCCCTCCAAAACCGGAGTAGGGAAGAGCTAGAGCACGAAAAGCTGAAACACCAAGTGTGGGGCTGCAGACCTACACCCCGAGACTGGGGCACAGCCCCGGAGTGAAAGCGGTCAGCCCCCTGGCTAGTCTCAGCTCCTATAGCACTGTCCTATCCTCTCCAGTCCAAAAACAACACTGTGGAAACCAGGGGCAACCCTCCCTCTTATGCAGAGAATCTGACCTGCATCATAATGAGGGTCAGAAAATAGTCTGGCGCACCAGTTCAGAGTTCTAGAACTTTGGACACTGAGGCTTCAGAGTTTAACCTTTCCTGTTCAAGCACACTTCATGTCTAGATAATTTCAACCAACATAGTTAAGGAAAATATAATTGACAATATTTACTAAGCCCACAAAAGTAAGCATACTTAGTAGGTTTCATTAAATACTTAACAGAGACTCAAATATCATGCTCCAATTATTAAATTATTTTTTCAACTTCTTAATTTCTCTGGTATAATTTTCAGTGGAGGATATTTCTTTTTGTTTGTTTAGTTTTGTTTGTTTCCTGGTTTGTTTGTTTGTTTTTCCCTGCGGCAGTGTTTCTCTTTGTAGTCCTAACTGTCCTGGAACTCACTCTGTAAACCAGGCTGGCAGAGAACTCAGAGATTTGCCTGCCTCTGCCTGCCTTGTGCTGGGATTAAAGATGTGCTCCACCACTGTCAGGCTGCAGAAACCCCCACTCAGTGTTACTGAAACTGCTCAAGGAATCTTTTTGTTGTTGTTGCTTTGGAGGCTGCCCTGGAACTGGCTCAGTAGACAAGGCTGGCCGCCTACTCACAGAGATCCTCCTGCCTCTGACTCCCTAGTGCTGGGATTAAAGGCATGAGCCACCAACCCCAGGCAAGGAATCTTTGTTTTAATTTACTCTTTTACGGATTGAATTTGTTTTCATGCATATTTTAGTGCATTCTGCTTACTCTCTCCACCACCACCTTTTGTTTCCCTCTCACCCATGACCCCTCCCACTTCTTCCCTGAGCCCTTCCAGAATTCATGCTGTTTTGTTTTGTTTTGCTTTGGGATCTACTAATTGTATGCAGCACTATATAAGTGGCCACAGGTTTGGAACTATTCACTGGAGCCTGATGGGCTCACTACCTGGTACACTACTGAAGGCAATAACTGTTCCCCTTCCCCCCCTCAGAGTCCATCAGTTGTCAAGCATACAATAGGATGAGAACTTAAAAAAAATTAAACAAAACCATATTGGCCGGGTGTTGGTGGCACACACCTTTAATTCCAGCACTCGGGAGACAGAGGCAAGCAGATCTATGTGAGTTCATGGTCTAGGCTGTTCTAAAAAGTGAGTTCCAGAACATCCAGGGCTACACAGAGAAACCCTGTCTAGAAAAACAAACAAAAACAAAACCTCATTTGGGAAAATACTTTTAAATTTGATTATGGAATGTCAGAAAACGTTTAAACATTTTTGTCACCTGTGAAGTAATCTTTGCAATGTTTTTTATAGAGACTGCATTAGTCAGGGTTCTCTAGAAAAATAGATCTGATGGAATGAATCTCTCTCTCTCTCTCTCTCTCTCTCTCTCTCTCTCTCTCTCTCTCTCTCTGTGTGTGTGTGTGTGTGTGTGTGTGTGTGTGTAACTGACTGTAATGACTTAACAGCCTGCATGGAATTGAAAGTTCAAGAATCTAGTAGCTGCTCAGTCCCAGGAGAAAGGGTGTCTCAGCTGGTATTCTGTGTAAGCTGGAATCCCAAAGTAGGCTCCAATCCAGTGAAGGAATGGATGCCTAGCAAGGCAAGGACAAGCAGGCAAAGAGCCAAACCTTTCTTCTTCCATGTCTTTATTTAGGGTTGCAGAAGAATGTGTGGCCCAAATTAAAAGTGTATCATCCTGACTCAAGATCCAGATCAGAGGTGTGTCTTCCGGATTCAAAGGTCTGGACTAGAAGTGGAATCACCCATTTCAAACAAAGCAGAATATCTCTCAGAGGTACTAGCTATATTTCTGGATTATAGTTCACTCCAAATATTGTCAAGCTGACAACCAAGAATGCCGGCCACAGAGATGTACACTAAAGTGAGGCTCCAGAAGTCTATGGCTCTCAAAAAACACTTAATGATTTTGAAATTGAATTTCAAATCACAGTCTTAATTTCCAAATTTACTCTTACCATTTAATGCTCATAGAATGCTCAAAAAACATAATAATTACACAGAATTTTATAGGCAAGGGTTCAGAGCAGTGACCTATCTTGAATATATTTTTATTAAAAATACCAAGTGAGCAGATGGAAATTCAGAGGTAACAGGATGCTACTATCGGTAGCTTATTAGGTGCATGACACCAAAATGTATTTTAAGTGAAATGTGAGTGGAAAGGTTTGCTCTCACAGGGTTAAAAACATCTACAACAGCTTTTTTCTTAGTGTGTGCAAGACTGTTCCAACCCTTTGAAGCAGCAGACTCTGTTCAGCAGTCGCCAAGTGTTACATAAAATCGCTTACTCCTTTCTGATTTTGCTGCCTCTTACAATTTGAGTGAGCTACTTCGAATGCTGAGAATCTGAGGGCCTGTGTCTTGACAACTCCTTTCTGTGGGGGACATCAAACTAAGAAAAGCTCTCCTCCCCTACTTGTTCGCA